TCTGGCTCCTAGGTCGACGCTCCACCGCTGAGCCATGCAGCCGGCTCACTGCCCCTGAGGGCACCCTCCAAACCTAGGCAATGGGCAGGTCAGCAGGTGGGTCAACTGGCCAAGTACCTGTGAGCACCGCCGAGGGTGGGGGATTGAAGGACCACCCCAGTTTCTTACCCCCTCTGTACTCACACCCTGCCACGGCCTCCTTGTGGGCAGAGAAGTCCCCACTCCTTCACTTGGAGCTTGACCCTGCCTGCGGCTTGCTTTGGCCCCTGAAATGGAATGCCAGGGCCCAAGCCTAGGCCTTCCGCACTTCCCGGGGCAGCTGCTGCGCCACCGTTCTGCCATGAGAGGGCGCGCATGAGCAGGAATGGAGCTCTGGAAATTGGCCTTCAGTCCCTCAAGGCCTAATGGGGTAGCAGCAGGGGTTCTAACAGGTGGGACCCAGGGTCTCCCGCTCTCCGCCTGCTGCCCAGAGCTGAATCAATTTATTTGCTACTTTAATTTAGTTTATTTTTTCAGGTTTCCTATTTCTTCTTGGGTCAGTCTGTGAATATCTCAACGCATGTCCATTTTCTTTATACTGTCATATAGAGGCATAGAATTGTCTGTAATTTTTCCTTAGTCTCTTTTAAGTGTGATCAGGTACTCTTATTCTTTTTTTTTTTTTTTTAACTTGAACAAAATTTATTAGTTTTCCTTAATTGCCTCTGGTGCAGCTTGGGAAGAGCTTATTGGGTTCGTCTGGCGTTGTTTCTGTGCAGCTGCTGCTGCTTTTAAGGCCCTTTTTTGCTTCTTTAGCTTTTGAGCCTCCTGGTAAGCCCGAATGCACAGAGCCTTCTTGGCCACCCAGCGCGGTGGGCTCTTTGGGAGTACATAGGGGGGAAGATGTACCCAATCCCCAGGTCCTTGCATGTCTTCTCAAAGACTTTGTAGTTGGTCTTACGGGGATTTTTGAGCATCTTTTGCCTCTGGTCAATGCTCATCATCAGATAGCGCTTGTGAGCTTTGTCCTTTTGATGTTTCTGCATGTGCTCCTCATAATTTTGGATCTTGACAGTCAAGGCAACAATTCGAGCCTCCAGGGAGCTGGTGTCCTCGGGGTTTGCCACAACCTTGTTCATCAATTGTTCTTTCTTGACTTTTAGCTTCTCCTTCTGATTCCCCATTTCCAAGGACAAGAGTCTTTTCACGACATCATCAACCTTGTCAGTTCCAGGGACGTCCTGGTGATCTTTGAGGAGCGTGGAAGGGGGCGGGTCATCTTCTTGGCTGGGCCGGACTGGCTTCTGGATGGCATACCCGCGGGTGGCCGGGAGGAGACCGCGGGGAGGAGAGGGGAGGAGAGGGGAGGACCTGGGGGTGGGGAGGAAGCCGGGTGCACCCTCCCCCTGGCAGCCCGAGGCCTGGGGCCTGGGTCCGGAAGGCACTCAGTACCCTCTATGCCGCCCTCAGCATGGTGGCGTTTGACCTCAGCAGGTACTTTTATTCTTGATGATGGTAGTTTCTTAATGTTAATGTATTCAAATCCATAACCTTTTCCTGTCTGGTTCAGTGCTTTTCTTGTGCTTGGTTTAAGTGTATGGTCTTCATTTACAGATTCCAGGAGACCAGAGCCGAATCCAGTTGGCACTGCTCAGGGGAGAGACTAAGAAGGTGGATGGGCTCCACCAGTGTAGCTCAGCGGGTGAGCGTCGACCTATGAACCAAGAGGTCACGGTTCGATTCCCCATCAGGACACATGCCCAGGCTGCAGGCTAAGTACCCTATAGACGACATGGAGGAGGCAGCTGATCATTGATTCTCTCTCATCATTGATGTTTCTATCTCTCCCTTCCTCTCTGAAATTAGTAAAATTAGTTTTTTAAAGAAGAAAGTGGGTGGTATATATTGGATTATAGGCTAGCCTCGAAAGTAGCTTTTATAAACAGTAAGTCTATTTGTGGCTTGGGTTCTTTTTAAAATTAACATTGAATTTATTGAAATAGAAATTAAAAAGCTAATATCCTTAAGTTTTTATTAAGTTCTGGTTAAAACCTTAATCTTCTACCCTGTTTCCCTGAAAATAAGACAGTGTCTTATATTAATTTTTGCTCCAAAAGATGCGCTAGGTCTTATTTTCAGGGGATGTCTTATCTTTCCATGCGCTAGGTCTTATTTTTGGAGGATGTCTCATTTTCGGGGAAACACGGTATCTATAAATCTAAGAGGATCTTTACAATTAAAGATTGTAAATCCCCTAAGTAGTTTAGGTTGAATATATATTAACAAAACCAATCTCCTCTTTAAGCATATACCTATAATTCCATTTTTAAACACTGCATTTGTTTCTAATAAGCAAAGCCTTCCTATGAACATGGTGAATACTATAAATCTAATAGAATAAACATATACAATTTTGAATACTCGTCTTTATAACCACCATTAAATCTCTCCCAGAAGTGCTGTACACCATTAAAGTTGGAATCGTAATTAATCTGTTACATATACCAAATTTGTGTGCACTGATATTCAATATACACAAATTATTCTTAAAATATTCCAAAAAATAATATCATTGGCTTTTTTTTTTTCTTTAAATACTGTAATTACAAACATGCCTCGGTTTTTAGTTACCTTCTAAGATGGTCGTCTTTAACTGGGGTGGTACTGCCCTCTAGGGGACATTTGTGGAATTTGATGGCCTGTTTTTAGGAGCCACAGTGATGGAGGGGTGCTCTGGTATTAGGCACAGAGGGGTCAGGATGCCTGAGGTCCTGACCTACCCAGGACAGAACTCACAGCTAGAAGCTGTCCTGGACGGATGTCAGAGGCCCCTTCACATGAACAAAAAATTCATAGTTCCCCGCGCCTAGAACTTCTCCACATTTTGCCCATAGGTATTTCTGCATGGTTTAAATTAGGGGTGTCAAACTCAATCAGAGAAGGGGCCAAAATCTAAAATCCAGCCTAAATCGCGGGCCGAATGGTTTACTGAACAGTCATAAACTGTCATTGTGATGGAAACGCAGCGGAGTGCAGTGATGACAGCGCGGTGCGGGCCACATTGCAAGACCTGGCGGGACGGATTTGGCCCGCGGGCCTTGTGTTTGACACATGTGGTTTAAATAGAGATTGAGTTTTCCAGGAATTGTGATTATCTTGCAAACCAGGGAGACACTGTATTTTGAGGTGTCCTGGACATTACCAAGATCTGTTGACAACTTCAGAAAACGATGCTCTGAGTAGCGATGTCCCTCATGGACCTGAGTCAGTCTGTGTGCAGCAGCACACTCAGGGTGCATACACATAGTTCAGGGGCAGGGATTATAGATACATTCCTTAACCCCTGTTTCAACGTCAAATATAAAAAATTCATGACTGTCAGTTATATATTGTATTACTACCTACACTCAAATGAAGCAACTGATATATTATACCTCCTGTTTTATTATTCCTAGTGCTTGAGCACATAAGTATTGAGATAAATAACTTTTATTTCTCTTTTATATTACAGTTTTGGCAGTATATGGTGTGTACCTAGATGACATTATGTATGAATTCCCTTTCAGGATAGAAGAGATATTACAAAGTGCTTTTGAATTTCAAACAATCTATAGGCAGCCCTGGATTGATAGGTAACATACTGCTGCCCTGGGCTGGGTCTGAGCATCAGGCGGGTGGGTGACAGGTGGAGGCTGAGAGGCAGCACCAGCCGGGTCACAGGAACACCCAGCTGCAGATGTTTAGGTCAAACACCTGCTCATCCAGGGAGCCGGGCTTCAGTTCTGGGAAGGGCAGAGGCAAAACAAGCCTGCAGCAGCACAGAGTGCTGGCCTGTCAGGAAGCTTCACACACACACACACACACATACACACACTCTCACATTCATTCACACAACTACACACCTACACACACACTCACACTCATTCACACACCTACACACAGACACCTACACACACTTACACTCAGTCATACACCTACACACACATTCTCTCATTCTCTCACATACACACACGTACATTCTCTTTCTCACATACACACACCTACACACATGCATATACATACACTCGCATATACATATACATATACTCACACACATACACTCACTCATACATCTACATGCACACACACTCACACAAACACACATGCACACACCTACACACACACTCACACTCCATGATGGGGTGGGTGTCCAAGAGACACAGGAACCCACTAAAAGGCCGGCAGTAGCCAAAGCTGGAGACACTGAGCAACAAAAGGAGAGGCCACAGGAGTGAGACCACAGGGGGCGGTAATGTCAGTGCGTCCACCCTGGTGCGAGCGGACTCCATCGGCAGAGGAGAGGAGAGGGGGGCTCCCGCTGCACCCTAAGTGTGGGGTCCGGGGACCCTCCCAAAGGGGGCGCGGGAGTGTCTGCACTCAGACAGGGACTGGGACGGGTGCCCTGGCGAGGCGCCTGGAAGGAAAGGCGCCTCAATGAAATGACGCGAGGTGAAATTCTGCGGCCGCTTGGTTTTCTTGGTTGGGGGGAAGGGGGGCGGGCGGATACAACTTGGAACCCCGCCCCTGGCTTCAGCTCCCGGCGTTTTAGGCTTTTCTCCCGGCAGAGCCAGCGACGGGGAGACCCAAACGCACGGGACCGCGGCGGGGAGCGGGCGGGGTGCTGGGGGCGGGGAGCGGGCGGAGATGGGGGGGGCGGGGGGGCGGGGTGCCGGGGGCGGGGGGCGGGCGGAGATGGGGGGGGCGGGGGGGCGGGGTGCTGGGGGCGGGGAGCGGGCGGGGTGCTGGGGGCGGGGAGCGGGCGGGGTGCTGGGGGCGGGGAGCGGGCGGGGTGCCCTGGGGGCGGGGAGCGGGCGGGGTGCTGGGGGCCGGGAGCGGGCGGGGTGCCCTGGGGGCGGGGAGCGGGCGGGGAGCGGGCGGGGTGCTGGGGGCCGGGAGCGGGCGGGGTGCTGGGGGCCGGGAGCGGGCGGGGTGCCCTGGGGGCGGGGAGCGGGCGGGGAGCGGGCGGGGTGTGTGCGGGGAGGGCGGGGTGCGGTGCGGCCTTGGGCCACGGGGGGCGCCCTCGGTCGCCGGGAAGCCGCACAGGGACCCCGTCCTGCGCTGAGCTGGCACCATGATCAGTGAGTCTGCCTTCCCGCGGGGCGGCGGCCTGGGGCGGGGGGGGGCGCCTCCCCGATCCCACCGCTCCCCCCAACAGCTAACTGACCCCCCTCCCCTGTGTCCCCAGAAAAAGCGGCTGCCGCTGTGGTCGGAGGAGGTGAGTTACTGGGTCCCCCATCGCCAGCCCTGCGGGCCCTCATCTTGGGGCGGGGCGGGGGTGGGGGTAGAGGGGGATGGGGGTAGAGGGGGTGGGGGTGCAGGGGATGGGGGTAGAGGGGGTGGGGGCAGAGGGGGTGGGGGTAGAGGGGGATGGGGGTAGAAGGGGTGGGGGTAGAGGGGGTGGGGGGGGTGAGGGGGTGGGTAGAGGGGGGTGGGGTGGTGGGGTTGGGGTGTAGAGGGGATGGGGGTGGCGAAGGGGTTGGGGGTGTAGGGGGGGTGGGGGCAGGGGATGGGGTAGAGGGGGGGGGTGGGGTGGTAGAGGGGGTGGGGGTGAGGGGGTGGGGTTGGTAGAGGGGTGGTGGGGGTGTGTAGAGGGGGGTGGGGGTGTGTTAGAGGGGGATGGGGTAGAGGGTGGTGTGGTGTGCAGGGGATGGGGGTGCAGGGGATGGGGTATGGTGTGGGGTGGGGGGGGATGGGGGAGGGGTGGGGTGGGGGTGGGTATAGAGGGGGTGGGGTTACGGGGGGTACGGGGTGGGGGTACAGGGGACAGGGGATGGGGGTACAGGGGGTGGGGGTACAGGGGGTGGGGGTACAGGGGATGGGGGGGTACCAGGGGGTGGGGTGGGGTTACAGGGATGGGGGTAGAGGGGGGTGGGTATAGAGGGGGATGGGGGTGGAGTGGAGGGGGTACAGGGGTGAGGGGTTACAGGGGAGGGGGTTACAGGGGATGGGGGTACAGGGGGGTGGGGGTACAGGGGATGGGGGTGGGGGCTCTTACCCACCCGCCTGCGGAGCCTTAGCGGGGAGAGCCCCCCGCGGGCGTTACCTGGTCCCACTAGCTGCTCCTCTGGCGCTTCCTGGGGGTGAGCATGCGGAAGGGGTGCAATGGCTTCTTTCACACACACCCCCCCCCCCCCCCGGAGCCCAGCGAGGGCCGCTGACGTCCCGGGGTCACACAGCGCCCGCACCCTCCCGGCCCTTGGCCCGGCGCGGGCACAGGGCGCCGAGGGGTGCGCCCCGCTCCCCGCGCCCACCGCCCGCCTCCCCGCAGCCCTGGCCGTGGGCGCCGCGCCGCTGCTGCTGGGCGCCGCGGGCTTCACGGGCGCCGGCATCGCCGCCTCCTCCCTGGCCGCCAAGATGATGTCGGCGGCCGCCATCGCCCACGGGGGCGGCGTCCCCGCCGGCAGCCTGGTGGCCGTCCTGCAGTCCGCGGGTAGGAGCCTGGGTGCGGGCGGGGGAGGGCCTGGGGGGGGGGCCTGGGTGCGGGCGGGGGGGCCTGGGTGCGGGCGGGGGGGGCCTGGGTGCGGGCGGGGGGGGGGGCTGGATGCGGGCGGGGGGGGGGCCTGGGTGCGGGCGGGGGGAGGGCCTGGGTGCGGGGGGGGGGGCCTGGGTGCGGGCGGGGGAGGCCTGGGTGCGGGCGGGGGGGCCTGGGTGCGGGCGGGGGGGGCCTGGGGGCGGGCGGGGGGGGGCCTGGGTGCGGGTGGGGGGGGCCTGGGTGCGGGGGGGGGCCTGGGTGCGGGCGGGGGGGGGCTGGATGCGGGCGGGGTGGGGCCTGGGGGGCGGGCGGGGGTGGGCCTGGGCTTCCTGCCTGTCCTCTCTGGCTCCGGAGTGAGGTTGGGGCGGGGCGGGGGAAGAGGGGGTTCGGGGACAGAGGGGACAGGAAGGAGCCCAGGGTGAGTGATGTCTGGCTGTGGGTCCCGCTGGGTCCGCTCACTCTTGGGGCCTCAGGGGCCGCCTGGGTAAAGTGAGGGGGGACCAGAAAGGGGGTGAGGGGGAGCCTGTGGTCCCTCTGCCCCCTCTTCCCATGAGCTCGCCATCTCCTCTCTGCTGCCCCAGCATCCGCTACCCAGAGCAGAACCCTGCGGGCGTCAGGACCTGCAGGGGGACCCGGCGGGGTCTCTGGGCCCGGACCTCCGGGGGGTCCCCACGCGCACCCTCTCTTCTCCCCCAGGGGCAGCGGGACTCTCCACGTCGTACAACATCCTCCTGGCCTCCGTGGGGTCCGCTCTGGGCGCCTTGCTGGGAGGTTCCAAAAAGGCGGCCCTTCCCTCTCCCCCGGCAGGGCCCGGGGCTGGAGGGGACCAGCCAGGAAAACACGCCCCCCAGGCGAACCCCCCGGAACCCCCCCTCAGCTCCGGGAAGCCTGGGAAATAAAGGTCACGTGCACACGCCTCCCTGTCCTCATTCCTGCAGCCTGGTTGGGACGGCGGGAATTAGAGGCTCCTGGTCCCCCACTCTCCGACCTGCCTTGTCATGCAGGGAGGGGGGCCTGGGCTGACAAGGATGGGCTGGTGACCCAGGGCCACTCAGGGGCCTTCGGTGGCCTCTGCCCCTCACTCATTGGGGGCTGATACAGGTTCCGGCTGGGAGGCCGGTGAAGGGGAGCCAGGGTGCACTGGCTCCATGGACCCCAGAGCCCTTTGCCCTCCTCCTGGGGGCACTGGACAGCCACTGACTGCCACCAGCCCGCCCCGCTGCCTCGGGATTCCCGGGGAGGCTGGCACGCAAACCGCCAGGCCGTGCCCGATGCCAGGTGCTCCTCGGCTGGGGCACTGCAGGGGGAGGAGACGGAACCCAGTGCCACTGGGAAAGCCAACGGAACTGACAGTCACCAGCTCCTGCCTGGGGACAAGGGTTTGGGTTGTCCCTGAGTCTCCACTCACCCCCAGACCGAGGCCTTTTCCTGCCAGTGAGGTGTCCTTCTCTGGAGTTGTGTGTTTGTTTTTTAAAAGGATGAGTTGTAAACTAAATTAAAAATAGGGGTTCTGCCCTGGCTGGTTTGGCTCAGTGGATAGAGTGTCGGCCTGCAGACTGCAGGCTCCTGGGCTCTATTCCGGTCCAGAGCACAGGCCCGGGTTGCCGGCTGGATCCCCAGGGTGGGGCGTGCAGGAGGCAGCCAATCGATGATTCTCTCGCATAACTGATGTTTCTATCTCTCCCTTCCTCTCTGAAATCAATAAAAAATATTTTTAAGGATTCACTTACATAAATAATAAATGAAACAGGAGCGCTAAGACTTCTGCTGGCCCCCGTGGACGGCCACGAGGAAGCCCAGCCGCACCACCAGGAAGCGCTCAGAGCGGGCGAGAGGCGGCGGGCACCCGCGCCCAGAGAAAGCCCGGCCCTCACAGCCTAGCTTTCCTGGCCTGAGGGCAGTGCAGGCGCCCACAGGACGAACCCACTGGTTCTGGGCCCTTGCTTGGCTGCCTGTCCTGCCCAGTTCAGCCTCCCTCCCTCGTCCGTGCTCCCTGGCGCCACCTGCATAAACCATTTGCACTCAAATCCCTGTTTTGAGGTCTCAGCCCCACTCAGAGCCCACAGGGCTGAGCCCAGACAGCCACAGCGCCCCACAGATGGTTCCTGGAATCTCTTCAGGCTGATCCAGTCTCCTTCCCTCAGGATGAGGCGCAGACAGGGGGCTCCACAGCCAGCTCATTAGGACCCACCTGGTGGGCACCCCAGACAGGCCCAGGTCTGGCAGAATCCCGGCAGAGAACACAGCTCTGCCCCCCTGCCCCCCAGGCTACCCCGGACCATGCCATGTGCCAAAGGCCTGGGAGGAAATCACTCCAAACAGTAGGCCACCCCTAAGGCCAGGGAAAGCGTTGCACAATTTCAATTGGAAAAATGTTCCTTCTCATTTACCTTTCCTCCTGCTGCAAATGATGCTCAGGAGAGTAGGGCAGGCTCTAGCCGGTCTGGCTCAGTGGATAGAGCATCGGCCTGCGGACTGAAAGGTCCTGGGTTCGATTCCGGTCAAGAGCATGTACCTTGGTTGCGGGCACATCCCCAATGGAGGGTATGCAGGGGGCAGCTGATCAATGTTTCTCTCTCATTGGTGTTTCTAACTCTCCCTTCCTCTCTGTGAAAAATCAATAAAATATATTTTAACAACAACAACAAAAAAGTCGGATGGGGGCTGGCACGAAGATGGTTGACACCGATGAGGCCCTCCATGCGCCTCCCCTGAGTCCTCACTCCTTTTTTATCTTTTTAAAATTTATTTTATTGTTTAAAATATTACATATAGTAGTACATATATCTCCTTCCCCTCTCCCCTCCCCCATTGACCTTCCTCCAGCCTTCCCTACACCCTTGAAGTTGCCTGACTCATGAGGAAAACATTTTATCTCCTGAGCACGGGCAGCAGCTGGGAGGGAGCTGTGCGCCTGCCGCCCGGAAGGCCCCCGGCTGGGAAGAACCATGTGGCGGCTACTCAGCCGCTGGGGAGGTGCCAGCTTCAGTAGCAGCGGGAGCTGGGCCTTTTCTCTTTTTAAATTGGTTTTTAGAGAGAGTGGAAGGGAGGGATAGAGAGAGAAACATGCATGAGACAGGACCATCACTGCCCGGCTGCCTCCTGCGCGCCCCACGCTGGGGATCGAGCCTGCAAGCCAGGCACATGCCCTGACGGGAATCAAACCTGAGACTCTCGGGTCCTGCGCCAATCCCAACCCCGGTGCCATGCCAGCCCGGTGGGGTGGTTTCCTACAGGTCATTTAACAACACCCATCCAACGGCGGCATGCCCTGGGAATGTGAGCGGCTTTTCGGAGGTGAGTCGCGGGCTGTCCCGACGCAGTATCTTTCCGATGCTGCTTTGATCCTTTTTTTTTTTTTTTTTAATATATTTTATTGATTTTTCACAGAGAAGAAGAGAGAGGGATAGAGAGTTAGAAACATCGATGAGAGAGAATCATCGATCAGCTGCCTTTTGCACACCCCCTACTGGGGATGTGCCCGCAACCAAGGTACATGCCCTTGACCGGAATCGAACCTGGGACCTTTCAGTCTGCAGGCCGACGCTCTATCCACTGAGCCAAACCGGTCCCGGCGCTTTGCTCCTCTTGTGCCCGTGCTTCCGGAGTTGCCCTGTGGTGTTCAGACTGCCCCAGAAGTTGCCGCGGGGCCCAGGAGGATGGGGGGGGGGGGCAGGGCTGCTAGGAAACATGCCCTCCTCGCTGCCCTGGTCCAGGGGCACCTCCTTCCACACCCCTCTGGGCCACTATGCTCCCCTCGCCTCAGGACTGGCTGTGCCATTTTCCGCCATCACGGACCAGCACTGTGGCTCCCACTGTGGGTCCCTCTCCGAGGGGGAGTGCCCAGGGCTGAGGAGCAGGAGAGAGATGGCCAGAGACGTGAGGAGCTGTGCCACCAGTGTCTCTCCGACTGAGAATCCGGCAGAGATTCTGCAGGGCAGCCTGGAGGTTCTGACACTGTGGCCTCCTGAGCCTTCCACGGGCACGCCCCACCAAGGTGTGGGAATGTGAGCAGCTCTTTACTTGGGCTGGAAAGGTTCCCCAGAGACCCTCCCTCTGATTGAAAGCCACTGGATGGAGGTCACTGAGGGTCTCTCCACCTGGATGGGCACCCATTTTCAGTACGAAGCTCCCGGTTCCTCCTGGCACAGAGACTCACCTTGCCAAGGATAAAGCTCCTGTCCACTGATGCGGTGCTTGGAGAACTGCCTGCTTCCCACAGAGACTTCCAGCAGCCCTCCACTGCCACCCCACCCGGATGCCAACCTCCAGGTGGATGTTCCCGGGCAGTGGCTGAGGCGTTGGGGCAGTCACCTCTTTCTCCCCTTCTCCACTGAGGACTGAAGACGCAGCCTCCTGGGACCGCCAAGCAGAACCCCGTGTCCCTGTGGTTCCGGGCTCCTAGCCTCTCCCCTTCACGGCCATGTGCGCTGAAGCTCGTTCTCGCCCTTTGTTGTTGTCCTGGTGGAGTGTGGAGAACGAGCAGGTGACTCCTCTCTGTTGGGTGGATGTTCTGTTGCTTGCAATCGAGAGAGTCCCGCTCATGTTCAGTGGAATGGATGCTTGCTGGCCACGAGGCTCTCTTGGCTGCACCAAGAGAGGTTTCTTTCCCTGCTACTTGGTCACATAAAAACCTCAGCCAGGCCCTGGCTGGTCTGGCCCAATGGATAGAACATAGGCCTCCAACCTCAGGGTCCCAGGTTCGATTCTGGTCAAGAGCATGTACTGTGCTTGCAGGCTCCTCCCTGGCCCAGGCCCTGGTCAGGGCTTGTGCAGCAGGCAACCAGCCGAATGTGTTTCTCTCACATGGTTGTTTCTCTCTGTCTTTCCCTCTCTCTTCCACTCTCTCTTAAAAAAATCAATGGAAACATATCCTTGGGTGAGGAATAAAGAATTGGTAGCCAGGACTGCTCCAGGAGGCCCAGGCTCCGCAGCCTTCCTTGGCACTGCTTTCACCTGCAGGCTGGGAGAGGGTTTATTCTCCTGCCTGCAGCAGAGCCCCTGGGAGGGGCCATGGGTCAAAGATGGGCCCCTCACACCCTGAGAGCTGCAGACTTTGTAGACTCGCTGCAAAGAGGGGCTGAGATGCAGTCCTTCACTGGAGACGGTGCCCCTGGCAAAAGACGGGACACCGGGTGACTGCCAGCAGCCCCTGCCTCACAGGGGAATTCCTAGGCCTCAGCAGGAAGCCATCCTAGAGGCGACCACGAGAACTGGGCCCTACCTCTCTGTGCTCTCCCGGCAGCACGCCCGCCACCGTGCACCAGAACGTGGTTAGTGGAGAATGAGCCTGGCTTCCCTGACACTGCAGACCCCTGAGGGGAGGCAGGGACCCGCGGTTCCACAGGGACGGGACCCAGAGTCCCTGAATCCCAGGGGTCCGCTGAAGCCCGGATTCCGGGAATCCTGGGCTGCCGGAGTGTGTGCAGCCAGCTCCCAACTTGAACAACCCTCAGCCTGATAAAAGAGGGGGTGGGGTGTCACAGCTGTTTTCTCTCCCCGTATAACTAATGAATGCACGTTTAGCAGTTCACACTAACTTCCCGTTATTGCCTTGGAGTGTAGGCCAGCAGTGCAAGTGGGCTTAACTGCGTTCTCTGTCCAGAGTCACAGTCAAAGCTTCAGCCGGACCGTGCTCCCGTTTGGGAAATGTGGTAAGAATCTTCAAACCCCCTCTTTCTTGGCTCTGACTTACTCTTCTGTGATGAGCAGGCAACACTGTCCGCTTTTTCAAAAATTTTCTTTATTTTATTTTATTTTTTAATCTTCACCTGAGGGTATTTTTCCACTGATTTTTAGAGAGAGTAGAAGAGAGAGGGAAAGACAGAGAGAAACATCGAGGTGAGAGAAACACATTGATTGGTTGCATCCTGCACATGCCCTGACCAGGACCTGGGCGGGGGAGGATCCTGCAAC